AAAGTGATAGCCTCCTAACTTTGACCCCCGAGCTTAGTAGTCAACGCCCTTATCCAGTTTCTCCTTCTGTGGTTTCAGTTACCAACAATCAATTGTGGTCTAAAAATATTAAATGGAAAATTTCATACATATAACTTTTATTATAGTACATTGCTAAATTCTTTTACGATTGTTCTATTTTACAACTGCTCTAGTTATCACTGTTAATCTCTAGTTTTATAATCAGTATGCATATATAGAAAAAATCCCAGTAGATACAGGATTTGGTACTATCCAAGATTTCAGACGTCTACTAGGGCCTTGGAACATACCTACTATCAATGAAGGAGAACTACTGAAGAATAACCCTTGGTAGAAAAACTTAAGTCCTTCAGATGAGGTGAGCTACTACTCAAATGTTACCTCCCTCACATTGCATTAACACTGTCCACTCACCCAGCACTTCTAAACCTCCTTTTCTGGTTTATTTTTCACTTCAGCACCCACTCCTTTCTAATATAGTACGTACTTTACTTTTTAAATTAACTGCTAGTCCCCACAAGAACATAAGTTCCTCAAGAGCCTGCCTCGCTTACTGCCAACCCCTAGCATCTAAAACATTACCTGGCATTGAGTAGATCTCATCACAGCAATTCATCTCTAAATTAATATACAGAGGAACTTGACGTGGTCTATTATATAATAATACTTTGGTGAGATAAAAAGAAAGTTATTTTACGTGAAAATACACATGGCTACTGGTCTTCCAAAAGAATATGAACCACCTGAGTTTTCAATAATTTGGGTTACTAATTCTGAGAGAACATGCTTATAAGTGTCTTAGACAAACAGGCCTAGACAAAATTTTGTGAAAAGTAAGTAAAGCAGACACATATGTTTTAAATTTCTAACTATCCAGACATTTAACAATGAGTGAAAAATACTCTTCAGGCAAAACTGAGTCGTGGGTTTCATCAAATATAAATGTTTTGAAAACTAATTCAAGATGTTCATGAAAACAAAAAATTTGCTACAGCAGGAAATACTATTCTCAGGACTATAGTTAAGAAATATCTTACTATCTGTCTCCTCTCTGCCATCTAATTATACCAACGTTACATCACAAAGGCAATGCCTTCTGAAATTTTAAACTGTCTTTTTATATTTCACCGACAGTTCCTTGAACTAACTTCTCCATGGGGGAAATGACAGAACCCAACAATAACCACAATGCAGTTCAGCCACGAGTCAAGGCTGATTATTCTTTTGTTTTCTTCAATTTTCATAACCATTCCTGTTTCCTTTATGCTAAAACCTCCCATACTTAGCTTCCTCTTTCTGGCTTTTCTGTTTTGCTTCCTCAGCTGTGTGGCTGATAAGTCAAGGGATGCTGATGATATTGGGTGCCCTCATTTTAGGGAGTGTGACCCTCTGACAGGGGCTGACACAAGATTTCCAGGGTTGCTCAAAGAATAAACAATGGGCCAGAAGCAAGCATGTCCTTTAGAGCCTCTTTGATCAGTCATGAACATGACTAGGCTTGTTGTTGTTTGGGGGGTAACCAGGGACTGAACTCGGGACCTTGCACTTACAAGGCAGGTGGCAGCACCACTGAGCTAAATTCCCAGCCCATGACTAGGTTTTTTTTTTT